TTAAAAGGTTTTTCAGGGGGCCCAGTACAAAACATATTTTGTTTCCAAAATTCAGGGGAGAATTTTTTAAAGTAGGGGATGAAGTTCTTGTACTTTTGCCGATCAAGTCAAATAGAGTATTAGAAACAGGAAAAAGGTCCATATAAAGTTTTAAAAAAATTTGTGAAAAAAGTTGATTCCCCTCATGGGAAGTCGGGGGGAAACCTAAGCTTTATCAATCAGCATTTTTAAAAGAAATATTTCCGAAGAAATTCGGTTTAAATGCCTTAAAATAACTTTGACTTAGTTTTTCCCCCCGAACTTGAAAAAAGATAACTGAAGAATTAAAGTGTCGTAAAATTTACACCCCTAACTTTAAATGTGATGAAGAACTAATTACTTGGTGACCCCCTTTACCACTCGGGCGCAACCAAAAATTTAAAATTTAAAGAATCTTTTTGGTACCATAAGAGACATGAACTACTTCAAGTGTGGGAACTTTTCAGAAAAGTCTTTTCTTATATTCCAGGGTTACCTCCCCCCGGGAGTCCCTAAGATTGACTTAGTGACGGCCAAAACCCCATCAAAAAGAAAATTTACCCAGTTCCCGTTCACCTTAGGGATGCATTTGATCGAGAGGGGAAACCCAAAATTTTTAAAACTAAAGAAACATTGAACCTTCATATCCATATTGTTCAACCCCCGTTGTCAGGTTAAAAAAGGGGAAAAATTCATAAGACTTGCTATTTACTTCCCGAGGCCCTTTAAAGCAAAAACTCGGTGGGGTCTGACCTATGCCCCTTTTAAAAATAGCGATCACACAAATTTAAAAGACGCTTCCTTCTTTTCAGAGATTAAAATTGCACAATATCATCAAGTAATGTTAGATCCTTCTTCTAAGCAGTACACTGCTTTTTCCCAAAACACCCAAAAAGGGCTGATGCCAATATAGAACTATGCCCCTTTGGGTTTTGGGAACTTTCCTTGCTACCTAGTGAGACTGATGAAAAGGGGCTTCAAGTTTTTCCTAGAAATTTTTATTTATAAAGCCACGGATGGCGAAACGTCTAAAATAAAGATAAACCCAGATGTTTCACAATGTGTCTTTCTCTCATCAAGGTTTTTGGGGAAAATGCCAAATGTTTTTAGGGTTTTTTTTGGGTAACATTTACGTAATGACATCCACGGGGGGCAACATATCCAAACATTAACATCATTTTGCGTAGGTTTTTCGCCCCACTGGCCTCACTGCCAAACCTAAAAAATGCTTCCCGGGTTTTAACAAGAAATTTGATACTTTGGCTGATATTTTTTCTAATAACTCCCCGAAACCTCACTCCCCGTAAAATCAAAACTTTTTTTAGAATTTAAATTCCCCCAAAATCAAGAACTCCTGCATAGCTTTCCCTTTGGGTTCCCCGTAAATTTTTTTGCACGGGGGTTTTCCCAAAACCCTTTCTGATTTTTACAGGCATCTATCCGACTTCCCTTAAAAAATCTGTGGGAAAGGGAAACCCCTTGAAATTTTTCCCACGTAGCCGGGGAAAAGTTTAATGAAAATTAAAAGTAAACCCTTTTTGAAAAAACCCTAACTTAAGAAATTCCCGGGTATTAATAAAACATTTTGCTTAAGAACTTTAAAGCCCTCCAAAACTGGGTTAGGTGCGGTTTACTACAATACCATGAGGGGACTTCCCTTTCCCTTTTGCTTTCCCAAGCCCGGGAAAAATCCCTTCCCCCAGAAAAAAATACTCCACAAAAAGAAAAGGAATGTTTTACCCTTGTGTGGGGTATCTCCAAAACTTTAAATTTTTTTTGCTGGGAAAAAAAATTTTTTTAGAAAAAGGGCCACAAACCTTTGATATCCTAAAACTTTTTAAGGGAAAACCCAAAATCGCCTCTTGAGGTGGACATTGGCACTCCAGGGGGTTTTAAATTCCATATTGGGGTATATCAATGGTTCATCCAATTTTTTCCGACTGGTTAAGTCGTGCGTCAAATAGAAATTTTTTGCCTTACACACTTCCACATGTTAGAACTTTTTTCCCCCCCTATTTTTTTCTATACTCCTTTACTAAAAGTCTTGGGAAAAGGGGGGGTTTTGAGGGAAAAGTTTTAATGATAGGGGGTTTGCCCAGGGAAAATATATAGTAACAATAGTTTTTTTGCCGGCTACTTTTTTTAAGGTTTGGGTAAGTCAAGCTCCCCCCTTTTTTCCCCCCTTTTTTTTTTCCCCCCCCCGAAAAGGGGGAAGTTTTTAAATGCCAGCGCTTGGTTTAAAGGGAGGGCAAGTCTAAACCCTGGGCCCCGCCTTTGGGCCCGGTTGGTAATGCTTTTGGGCCCCCACAAGTGGGCGCATTTTTCTATCCCCGACATGGTTGGAAATTTCTGGAGTGTTTCCTTAAAACTTTCTGTCCCCGTTCACCTAGCAAGCAAGTAGGTACCTGGGTGTTAGTTAACTGGTGTGGGGTCGCATTATCAGGGGCAAGACTGAAGGACCCCAATAGAAATAAGACAGACAGTCCCTCAATGACACACCGACTTTCCCCAGGTTATCCTGGGTGGCAAAAACCCCCCGGGGTAAAAACCTGAATAAATCTTATCGTAAATGACCCTAGGATAGTCGATAGACTATACATAATATATACCATAATTTGTCTCAGAGTTCTTTTAGAGTTTACTTTAATTCTTTGGTTTAATCTTTTTGTACATAACCTACAAGAAATACAATGGTCTGACTGCGCAAACATGATATGGGAACATAAAAATTAGGATAATTCAGTAAAGTCACTGAGATTTATTTCTTATTTTACTAAGAGGGTCAGAACGTCTGGCACAACAGAAGGGCATCGGGGGTTCGATTCTCAGGCCACACCCTACTTAGCGGAAACAGACAGCAGGTGTTAGTTGACTGTTAATTATGGGTTGTATCATGGACAAAAAAAAAAAACACAAACGAGATAGATAACTGTAGCTGTGTGGGAAGTCTTCATACAAGTATTGTGTATGTGTATGTCAAGCCAATGGTGATTCTCTTCAAATCGCTTGTTCCCTCTCACTTCACACGCTGAGTGTCCATGGTTCGATTCCCTGAAAAGGTAGAAACACTGGTTGTGTTTCCTTACACCTGCTGTCCCATTCACCTAGCAAGCAAGTAGGTACCTGGGTGTTAGTCGATTGGTGTGGGTCGCATCCTAGGGGACAGAATTGAGGACCCCAATGGAAATAAGACAAACAGTCCCTCGATGACGCACTGATTTTCTTGGGTGATCCTGAGTGACTAACCCTCCGGGGTTAAAAATCCAAACAAAATCTTATTTCTTAGACTGGAATATTGCTGTACACTAACGGCCCCTTTCAAGGCAGACGAAACTGCAGACTTGGAGAATATACCAAGAAATTTCACTGCATATGTAGAAATTATTTAATTTCCGAAGCTATAGTGCCTAATAAGTGTTTAATGTGTTGATTTGGGTCAAAATGTATTTGTATTTTGAATGGAACCAACTGGGTTCCCGCTGCGCCTGCGCAGATGTGAGCGGGTGGGTAGAGGTCGAGCTGGGGCACGAGGTGGCGGCAGTGTTTTGAACGTAGTGAGGAGGCTGGGAAAGCATGGAACCAGGAAATTGGCATTCACGGCAGCCTAAGGATTAATATAGGCCTCATTTCATAATAGGAAGTGTCGTAACTGTTCCTGGTGGAGAGTGAGGGAACGTGATTTACGGGACCACCGTAATAGAGTGGTAAAATGAGTGAATAAGGGTAGGACCGGCTGACTGGCACGTCGTCATGGACTGTGTCCCAGGGAAAATTACCCTTGGTTTAATCATCACTCATCGGTCTCAAATCTTAATGGAGTGGTCTCCAATGTGTATAATAATTATGAGACATTAAACCGTCTTGTAAATCGTAATGTAATCAGTGATAATAACACTACGTTAAGGAATCGTTGAAGCGATATGAACTGCCATTCCCAGAGTGTGTGTGCACATGTTTACCTCGTTGTTCCTGTCCCAAGGATAGTGAAGGCTTTATGGAGTCACGACTTCTAAACCGGGACAAACCGACGGATACCTCGTCCTGCTGGAATAAGAACCATGTCGGTGTAGTAGGACATCGAAATGAGATGGTGAATGGAGGAAATAAGGAGTATCAATCACCCACAGTTAAGTAACCCTTCTAGTTATAGCAGACTGATACTGGCCAGTTAGGTATGTTGTAATTGGATAGGTTATGAGTGATCCAGCTACATCAAGTGACCACCAGAGGTGGTTAAGTTTTCTCACATGTCTACACGGGGTGACTACGGTAAACAATATGGTTGTCTCCCAATGAGTTTACTTGTATGCATGTAATGTTGAGGTACATAAAGGTAATCACCCTAGAAAATTTTCCATAGCATATGTAAGTACAATAAAGTACCTAAATTACTGGGAACGGTTGAAGTCCCTTGGAGCTCAGGCGAAAAATATATATGATAATATAAACTTGAAAAATCTTAGAGGGACTAGTCCCAAATCTGCACACTGAAATTACTTCCTACAAAATCAAAAGACGCGGCAGGTGGTGCAACATCACCCCCCCCCCAATACAAAGTAGGGGCGCCATGAGTACGTTAGAGACAACACAGTGTTAGGGGCCCAAGACTGTTCAACTGTCTCCCAGCATACATAAGAGGATTACCAATAGACCACTAACCGTGGGGACGTTGACCCCCCGAAACAACCTCCAGGTAATGATGACTGAAAAACAATAGTGTAAGTGCTTACCAACAATGACAATGAAAAAACAAGAGTTTATTTTGTAAAGCAATAATATATGGTGCATTTGGGGAAATTATATAAAAAAAATCCACATGTTGATATAATTTTCCCAAAGTGTAATTAACGTTGACTTTTATGCCATATAACAAAATAATAGGTAATATTTGTATATTATAATTATGAATTAATGTCTTGTAAAGTTAGATAATAACACCCAGGAGTAAAGATGATAATAATAATTATTTTTATACTACGTGCATAAAACCTCAATAAAAACTAGTAGTGATAGTAGAGTAGAAGCCGGACGGTGAGACAGTCTTAGTAACACCACCAGTCATAACCATCACTATGTTGAGCAATACTGGGTGAGCTGATATATACTCTGATATATATATATATGAGCACTTTATACTGTCATGGATTACGTACTGTCAGGGTTGTATATATTGTTTTTAACAGGTGGAGAGACCATAGTGATGGTGGGTCCTGGCTGAGGCTGCACAGTATGGGTTTTTTTTCTTTATGTTGGGGCCTCGCCATTCACGGGAGGTTCCTTGATGGGCTCTTGATCCTTGAAACTTAATTTGTGCTCCAGTTCCTTGTATCGAGTATGAATGCCTTCCATTCCCCCCAGATGCTATGTGACCTCTACGGGTTTACCCCTCAAGGAAGGTCCCTTGATGTTGGTGAGGGGCTCTTGATTTAGGGAATTGGATCTGTGCTCCAGTTACCCAAATTAAGCCTGAATGCTTTCCACATGTCCCCCCCCCCCAGGCGCTGTATAATCCTCCGGGTTTAGTGCTTCCCCCTTGATTATAATAATAATCTACGGGTTTAGTTCTTCCCTCCATGAATGTAATAATATCGAGACCTCCAGCACAAGTTTCAACTTTTAAAATGTTCTTATTTACCCCATAATGTACAGTTTAACCCCTCAAGGAGGTACCTTGATGCCGGTGAGGTCTTGATCCAAGGAGCTGGATTTTAACTTCCCCTTCCCTGGATCGAGCCTAAATACCTCCCATTGCCCAGGCACTGTATGGCACCTACAGGTTTAGCGCTTCCCTTTAACTAAAATGAAACTAGAATTTAAGCAGTGATAACCTAATATAGTCAAATTGTGTGACTTATTTCCATTAAGGCTGTTATTTTAAAGATTTTTAAATATTTGGTTATCCTGGTCTACTAACAACTGGGTTAATAAAACGAGTAAATATCCACTTAAATAAGTGTTGTATATGCCAATTCGACCACTGTTTTTCCCATTTCAAAATACTGTGTAATAAGTCACTATTGTACACTTCACAGTAGATATCTGGATTGAACCCTGTATACATATTGGCAAGTCTTAACACCTGCTACTGTTGTTACCTAGGAACAGGTAGATTTATGAGTGGCATTACCTCTTCAGGAAGTCCTGCAAAATAGGTTACCAACGGAAATTGGTCGGTGTTTGGCTTTGGTTATCCTGGGTAATCAACCTAAATAGTCTACTGTGTCCCCCAAGTTAATTATTACTATCATTAAGTACTCTGATTAATAAGAAATATTTTCTTTCCAGGAATATGTTTGCCAGATTAAAATCAGTTTGGTTAACGGTGTAAAATTTAAGATATCTGTTTATATTCTGCATTTTTTGTTAGTGCTTTGTGCTACGGAGTTTATTTTTTTAGGTCACAATCATATATAAGTATATATTAGTTTATTTCCCTTCAAGCACATGTAAGTTTATTTATGTTCAGGCACACAAGTACTGTTATGATAGTGTAAATTACCTAGGATAACCCCTCAAAAAAGTCAGAGTTAATAGATGTTGAAGGGCTATGTTTCAATTCCATTAAACCAAGGGTTCTTAATGGGGGTATCCATACCCCTTGGGGGTATGAGAACCAAATAGGGGGTATGGACTTGTTCTCTGAACAGTTTTAAGAAGTTGTTAGCTTATTCTAATCTATCAGCTGTTCTGTTCCTAGGTATCCATATGTAAAGTAAAACTAAGCCGTTGATATCTTTTGAAGTCATACCGGTACCTAATAGGACTGGTGATGATTTCAACAGTCTGGTGAAGGTGGTAAGGGGACATATTAGGCAGTCCACTGGGGGACTGTAATCATAAAAAGGTTACAAACCCCTGGATTAAACCATGACCTCCCATTCCTCAAATGCTGTATGACCCTTGCAGGTTAAATGCTTGCTATGTATATAATAATACAGCTCATCTTAATTTCACAATGATGCATATTGCATGTCATTAAACTAATTTTTCACATTTATATCATATCCATTTTATTATAGCATGTAAAAGTGATATGCTGTGATAACTTAACCTAGGATATAGCTGCAATTTTTTACTAAGATTTCTTTCCATTTATTTAGGTTGGCATCAGCTACAATAAAATACACACTGTATATAGGCTGTACAAATATACAGAAGTGATTGGTATCTTGATCTAGGATACCCCTGCAGTTCGCCAATATCTGGTGTGCGTCTCTTCGTCATGTATATCATTCTTATTGCTGTTCATATATATTGCTTGAATTAGATGGAAATGAAACATACTACAGTATACTGTAAATAATTTTAAATAATTTTTTCGGTTTTCTATATTTAAGAACTGTTGTTAATAATTATTTTTCATTCATTTCCTGACAATTTGTACATTATTCAGTACTGTAATACTGAGCTTAAATATTGCAACATTTACTAGGGTATGATAAATTAGACGTGTAACATTTGTGTATCTTTATTGTGGAAATGTTTCACCACACAGTGGCTTCATCAGTTCAGTAAAAAGAAGAATGGTGCAGATGAAGAGGAGTTTAAGGTAATCAGTCCCGCAGCCTGGAGTCGCTATAATCAGTTCATCAATCTCGATAAGAATACAGCATATACACGAAGAAGGGGCTTATGTACTGAAGACAGGTGAGGTGGTGAAGCAGTCATGGACAGTGTCACCTTACACAAATACATGGGCAGAAGTAGGTTATGCCTGTTGATACTGAATTGCTGCTCATGTCTAATTTTCTACTCTTGCCTAAACTTGTAGGCATAACCTACTGCCACCTATGGATTTGTCCAAGGTGACACTGCCTATTACTGCTTAACCTTACCTGTCTGCAGTGTGTAAGCCCCATCTTTGCTCATATGCTGTATTCTTATCAAGATTGATGGATTGATTACATCGAGTCCAGGCTGAGGGGACTGATTACCTCACTCCTCCTGATCTCCATTTTCTTTGTACAGGACTGATGAAGCCACTGTGTGGTGAAAAGTTCCCACAATAAAGATACCCAAGTGTTCCACATTTTTTTTTTATAGCAAGTCGGCTGTCTCCCACCGAGGCAAGGTGACCCAAAAAGAAAATACTTTCATCATCATTCAACACTTTCACCTCACTCACACATAATCACTGTTTTTGCAGAGGTGCTCAGAATACAACAGTTTAGAAGCATATACATGTATATATAAAGATGCACAACATATCCCTCCAAACTGCCAATATCCCAAACCCCTCCTTTAAAGTGCAGGCATTGTATTTCCCATTTCCAGGACTCGAGTCCAGCTATATAAAAATAACTGGTTTCCCTGAATCCCTTCATTAAATATTACCATGCTCACATTCCAACAGCTTGTCAGGTCCCAGATACCATTCGTCTCCATTCACTCTTATCTAACACGCTCATGCACGCTTGCTGGAAGTCCAAGCCCCTCACCCACAAAACCTCCTTTACCCCCTCCCTCCGACATTTTTGAGGATGACCCCTACCCCGCCTTCCTTCCCCTACAGATTTACACACTCTCCGTGTCATTCTACTTTGATCCATTCTCTTTGAATGACCAAACCACTTCAACAACCCCTCTTCAGCCCTCTGACTAATACTTTTATTAACTCCACACCTTCTCCTAATTTCCACACTCTGAATTTTCTGCATAATATTTACACCACACATTGCCCTTAGACAGGACATCTCCACTGCCTCCAACTGTCTCCTCACTGCAGCATTTACAACCCAAGCTTCACACCCATATAAGAGTGTTGGTACTACTATACTTTTATACAGTCCCTTCTTTGCCTCCATAGATAATGTTTTTTTGTCTCCACATATACTTCAACGCACCACTCACCATTTTTCCTTCAACAATTCTATGATTAACCTCATCCTTCATAAATCCATCCGCTGACACGTCAACTCCCAAATATCTGAAAACATTCACTTCTTCCATACTCCTCCTCCTCCCCAATTTGATATCCAATTTTTCTTTATCTAAATCATTTGATAGCCTCATCACCTTACTCTTTTCTATGTTCACTTTCAACTTTCTACCTTTACACACACTCCCAAACTCGTCCACTAACGTTTGCAATTTTTCTTTAGAATCTCCCATAATCACAGTATCATCAGCAAAAAGTAACTGTGTCACTTCCCATTTTGTATTTGATTCCCCATAATTTAATCCCACTCCTCTCCCGAGCACCCTAGCATTTACGTCTTTTACAACCCCATCTATAAATATATTAAACAACCATGGTTACATTACACATCCCTGTCTAAGACTTTCTTTTACCGGGAAGTAGTCTCCCTCTCTTCTACACACCCTAACTTGAGCCTCACTATCCTCATAAAAACTCTGTACCGCATTTAGTAACTTACCACCTATTCCATATACATGTACACATGTACTTGCAACATCTGCCACATTGCTTCCGTATCCACTCTATCATATGCCTTTTCTAAATCCATAAAAGCAATAAAAACTTCCCTACCTTTATCTAAATACTGTTCACATATATGCTTCAATGTAAGCACTTGATCTACACATCCCCTACCCACTCTAAAACCTCCTTGCTCATCTGCAATCCTACATTATGTCTTACCTCTAATTCTTTCAATAATAACCCTACTGTACACTTTTCCTGGTATACTCAGTAAACTTATTCCTCTATAATTTTTACAATCTCTTTTGTCTCCCTTCCCTTTATATAAAGGAACTATACATGCTCTCTGCCAATCCCTAGGTACCTTCCCCTCTTTCATACATTTATTAAACAAAAATACCAACCACTCCAACACTATCTCTCCCCCTGCTTTTAACCTTTCTGTCATGATCCCGTCAGTTCCAGCTGCTTTACCCTCTTTCATTCTACGTAATGCATCATGCACCTCCCCCCACACTCGCATCCTGCTCTTCACTCCTAAAAGATGGTATACCTCCCTGGCCAGTGCATGAAATTGCTGCCTCCCTTTCTTCGTTGACACTTAAAAGTTCCTCAAAATATTCTCGCCATCTACCTAATACCTCCATCTCTCCATCTACTAACTCCCCTACTCTGTTTTTAACTGACTAATCCATTTGTTCCCTAGG